GAAATTAACAGAAGGACTAACGGAGTGCATTTCGTATAGTTGAGGGATCAAAAAAGTGCAAAAAATTGTTAAGGGACCAAAAATGTGCAAACCACTATAGTTGAGGGACCAAATCTAGCATTTAACCTTCACGATTTTAGTCAATAGAGCTGCAATTGTGCTGAAGTCCTTGATGAATCTCCAGTAGAAACTTGCCAAACCATGAAAACTCTGCACCTCAAAAATATCTTAGGTGTTGGCCATTCTTTAATAGCCTTAATCTTTTCTTCATCTACTGCAATTCCATCAGCTGAAACAACATACCCTAAAAAGACAATCTGATTTGTGCAAAAGGAACACTTTTTAAGGTTAGCAAACAACTTTTGTTTTCTCAAAATCTCTAATGCCATTCACAGATGCTTAATATGATCAGTTAAACTCTTACCATATATCAGAATATCATCAAATAAACAACCACAAATTTGCCAATCAAAGCACACAAAAGATGATTCATTAATCGCATGAATGTAGTAGGTGCATTAGTTAATCCAAATGGCATAACTAACCACTGATATAAACCATGTTTCGTTTTAAAGGCTATTTTCCATTCATCACCCTCCTTCATCGTAATCTGATGATACCTACTTTTTAAATCAATTTTAGTGAATATGCAAGAACCATGTAGTTCATCTAACATATCATCTACTCTAGGAGTAGGGTGATGATACTTTACAATGATTTTGTTGATAACGCGACAATCAACGCACATACGCCAAGTCCCATCCTTCTTAGGCACAAGTAGCATTGGAACTGCACATGGACTCATGCTTTCTCTCAAATGCCCCTTCTTCATGAGTTCTTCAACCTGCTTTTGAAGTTCTTTCGTCTCATTGGGGTTGCTTCGATATGTTGGTCAATTTGGAATTGTTGCACCTGAAATGAAGTCAATTTGATGCTCAATTCCTCTTATTAGTGGTAAACCATTAGGAATGTCCTCTGGAAACACGTCTTTGAAGTCTTGCAGAAGAGATTTAACAACACTAAACAAAGAATCATTAAGTTCGTTAGTGTTGAAATTAGCATCTTTATATTGAAGCACAAACATAGGTTGCTTTGCAAAGAATGCAGCCTTTACATCACTTTCTTTTGCATAAACACTCACTGATTTTCTCTCTTTGTTTTCAACACTCTCAATCTTTTCTCTCTTTTTGGACTCTTTTTCTGTTGTTTTCTCTTTGTTTTTCATACCCTCAAGCTCACTCTCTTTTTTTACTTTTAGTTGATCCTTATAAACCCGCCTTGGACTCAATGGTGCAAGAGTAATTGTTTTCCCCTCCATGACAAATGAATAGCGATTTTTGAAGCCATCATGTGTTACCCTCCTATCATATTGCCATGGTCTCCCTAAAAGTAAATGTCCAGCATACAAAGGAACCACATCACAAAGTACCTCATCCTTGTATCATCCAATAGAGAATGAAACCAAAACTTGCTTATTTACCTTGATTTCTCCACAATCGTTTAACCATTGCAATTTATATGGCCTTGGATGTTTTGTCACAGGTAAATTAAGCTTTTTAACCAAAACAGTGCTAACAACATTAGTACAACTACCACCATCAATAATCACACTACATACCTTGTTTTTGACATGGCAACTCGTGTGAAATATATTTTCACATTGTACTTCATCATCTTCTTTGGCTTGCATATTCAAAGCTTGCCTGGTGATGAGCAGTTCTCCATCAATGGCATATTCCACACCATCATTAGCATCTTTTAACGGTGGCATAGATTCATCATCAAATTTACCTTCGGTTTCGATTTCTCCATCTTCTCTCAAGATCATCGTGTGCTTATTAGGACATTGCAATGCAACATGCCCCCTTCCCAAGCATCGAAAACAATTGATGTCTCAGTTTCTGTCGTGCATATTATTTGTTTCACTCTTTTGATTGCTGCCAACTTCTTTTGACTTAGATGTTATAGTTTTAGGCTTAAAAGCATAATTTTCTTCTTTTTTGCTTCAATTCAGTTTTCAAGAAGATGAGGAACCTGAATTTTGCCCAATTCTGGTGGTGGCTCCTTTACACTTGAGTTGTCGTTCTACTTTCATTGCCATATACACCATATCTTCTAATTCCACATAATGCTGCAGCTCCACCACATTAGCTATATCATGATTTAAGCCATGTAGAAACCGTGCCATAGTTGCTTCTCTATCCTCTTTCACATTCACTCTAACCATTGTGATTTCCATCTCTTTGTGATAATCCTCAATGCTTTTGGACCCTTGAGTAAGGCCCTACAATCGTTGATAGAGATCACAGTAGTAATGACTAGGAACAAATCGTTTTCTCATCACAGCTTTCATCTCTTACCAAGTGTCAACAGGACATTCTCAATTTCTACGTTGACTAAGCACAAGCTGATCTCACCACACCACAGTGTAATCAATAAATTCCATTGTTGCTAGTTTCACCTTTTTCTCCTCAGAACAGTTATGGCAATCAAACACCAAGTCCACCTTCTTTTCCCACTCCAAATACACATATGGATAATTTTTTCCTTGATATGGAGGAATCTTCATCTTGATGCTACCTAAGTCACGATCTTGCTGATCTCCCCACCTAGTTAGATTTTGCTCTCCTCAGTTAAACCTCCGTTTTTGATCCCCTTTACCTCTCATAAATTTGTCCATGCTGAAATTTGAGTTCTGGGCATCATTGTTGAATACATCTTCATAATCATCATTGAGGTCCATGCAAATTCGAACTTCCATTCTATATTTGGTATAAATTGGCTATAGCTGCATCTTGCTTCTCCATTTTGTCTCTAATCTCACCAAACATGATGTCTAGCCTCTGAAATTGTTGTTGCATTGCTTTGAGAATGAGAGATTCATCCACATGGTGTCTTCTAGTGGTTGATTTGTCATCATTGCTTGACATGATTGAAGCCTGCAACGAATGTTAGAAACAGAAGAATAAAAGGACCTCACAACACTCCCTTACGTGTTTCACTCCACTCTCTCATAGAATGGCACTTAACACTCGTGTTTTGCACATTGTAGAACTTGACTTTTCTCTCAAGTGTTGCTCACACGTCTTTCCTTTTTCCTTCACTCAACTTTCCTCTTTCAGTTTGTTATTAAACTAAACAAGCTCAATTCAAGTTATTTTGTAGCAATCTAACTCCAACACGTTTTTTTTTTTTTTTTATGATAAAAACTAAAAATTAAAGATACGCAAACCTGATTTAGGATCTGATGCTCTGATACCAAGATGATGAAAGCCCCAAAGAGAACAATGAGACCCATAGCATGACAAGGGATTTCTAAACTCTAGGAAAGCCAAATCAAGTTTATAATAAGACCTTGACCCATTGTTTATGTTGCAAAAAGAACCAAAGGCAAAAACCTTGACCCGTTGTTTATAACGCAACAAGAACTAGAGGTATAAAGTTGGTTGATGCCACACCCTCGAACGATTAAGAACGAGAATGATAAGTCAAGTTAGAATGCCACAAAGAATAATCTTGATAAGTTCTATAAAGTTCTGAAATGAACCAAAGAGAAAAGTCTCTCAAAAACTTAGATTCAATAGCTCCCCCCAATTAGGGTTACAAGTCCTTTAAATTGGGAAAAGTAATTCTAATTAGAATAGGAAACGAACACCCTAAGCCCTAATCCTAATAATAACGAATTAGGCCTCAAATAAATGAATGTTCAGCCCAAAATAATACAAAAAATGTGAAAATCACTAAAAGTAACCTAGAGTAACATAAAATATTAGCTTGTTATAAATTGCAAAAGAATTGTGAGATCTTGACGCAAGCTGTGTAATTTAGCATAAACGATCTCAATTAAGGTTCTCTTGAACCTGAATGATATTTACCATGCCTTGATAATCATCCAAGTTTTGATTTACTTGTTGCATGTTGTTATCAACCCAAATATGCTCAATAAGGCCATTTAAAGCTTTTTGCATCTTTTTAGCTCTAGCTCTCGTGACTGGACCGCCTAGAATGTGTAATGGATCTCTTGACGTGGTACATGTGCGGTCTTCTTGATTACCATCAATAGGAATAGATTTACAACCTCATATTAGTGAAAAGATCTCTTTATTGCCTAATAAATTAGAATCTAGAGAACAAATTTAAAGATCTTTAGGAATCCTTAATTATGCAAAACAATTTATGCAAAACTTGGCTCAATTGAGACATCCTTTGTAGAAATTGCTTAGAAAAAAAGAAATTCAACAATGAGATAGTTATCACACTAATCATGTAAAAGGGATTAAGGAATATTGTAAAAACCTTCCTAGGTTACAGTTGCTCAAAGATGATGAAGAATTAGCCTTTGAATATGATGCCTCAAATTTTTATTGGGGAGCAATTCTAAAGAATTCCCAACAAAAGGTGTGTAGGTAGTTTAATTTCTTTTCATGACCAAAGTATTTTAAGATGAGAACTGACAATACACAAGTCAAAGTATTTATTTTTAATAAATTACCTTTAACATCTTCATATAAAAGATTAAATAGATGGCAAACATTCCTTGCTAAATATGACTTTGAAACTTAGTATGTTAAAAAGGCTAATAATTGCCTTGTAGATTTCTTAAGCAAAGAACGAGCCAATCGATAAAATCTTGAAACTCCGAAACAAAGGAAAAGACTTGATTCTTAAAGGTTAAAAGAAAACTCATTGAAGGCAGTAGCCAAATGAAAGAAGGCCAAGAAACAATGATTGAATGCCAAGACATTGATGAAGGCCAAGGAAAAGTTATTGAAGGCCATGAGTTATTAAATAAAGGTCAAGATAACCTTGAAGAAGTCAAAAAGCTAATAGAAAATTAATGAATTTCAAAGTAATTATTATTTTTAGAATTAGCTCTA